TCACTGAGTCTGTGCCAGCACAATAAAATGTTGCTTCCTGCTGAATTGCCTCTGTGTCCCATGTCTCTGTCCAAGATTCCCACAGCAGTGATACCAACATTAATCCATTTATGAATATGAGTCTTAATCTAATTACCTCATTAGGCCCCAGCTTCTGGGGATTAAGCTTCCAACACATGAACTTTGGAGGATACACTCAAACCATAGCTACCACCTAATGCAAAATAAAAGCCCCCCAAACTTCCCCTCTTACCCTATTTGTGAAGTGTGTGTGCATTTACTATTTGTCTTTCTCACTTGAGGGTAAGCTCCTTGAGTGCAAAACTCACCTTCCAGTACCCAATGCTTACAATTGGTGCCTGATGCACAGTGAATGCTCAGGACCAGAAGCATGAACCAAGTAAGTTTCTGTTCATTATAAGTGATCTGGTCTCAGATATCTTATTATGGCAGCAGAAAATGGACTTAGACAGGTGGTAAAGGTAGAAGCAACCGACACTCAGATATTAACAGACTGAGCAGCACAGGCTGTTAACAACCCAGGGAGGCCTGAGGTGGGAGAGTAATTTATAGCAGGCTATTTGTTGGTGGTGTTTGCATTGCTTATCAGCAGGTGCCTGCAAGCTCCTAACAGCCTCACCATTCCTGGAGGTGACTGCTGAGCTCCTAAGTCCTTACAGGAAAGCAAGTGTGGAGCACAAGTATTTATAAACTCACAGAAGCAAGTCCTGTTGAATTCATTGACTGATTTCTAATAGTTGTGTTTTCTCAAAGGCACAGTTTCCTGTCCTCTCTGCTTAACATTCTCACCCAGCAAGATAGCACTAAGTAAACAAGAGCCTTCTACTCCCTGCACTCTGTTCTTCTTTTCCAGTTTGCTTCTTCTGGAGTCCCCTGTGCCTCAAGGGCCATCAAATATTATGCTGTGTAATAAGAGGCCTGTGGCCTTGGCAGTTAGCACTACTGGGAAGAGAAAGGGAAATGAGTGTGTCAGGCAGCAGTGGCAAATGATTCCACTAGAAACTGTAACCCATAGCTGTGGTTGATTGTGTCATCCTAAAGAACTAAACTTTGAAACAGTGCTTAACTTTAGATGTCCTTTGGAATCATCTGGAAAGCCTATGCCCCACCCCCAAATTGCAATATCATTGATCTGACATGTGGCTTGAGCATTGAGAAATTTAAAAGTTTCCCAGATACTTCAAGAGCAATTTTACATAGCATCTAATACACAACATAGATGTTGACAGGTATATAAATAATTGTTACATAAATATATAAATAAATACGCATAGTTTCAAAGCAAAACAAGGACACAACTGGAAGGAGACACACCCATACTCAGGGTAGGAGATTGTAACATGCTTCACCAGATGCGTGCAGGTAAAAGTAAGAAAAGGCATAGACTTGAACAAAATGGTCAGCAAACATCATCTAGCACATGTGTAGAGAATATTCTACCCAGTGACTGCAGATCCCATCTCAGATGGGCTCATTATAAAAGTTGAAAATAGAAGTCAGAATGTGGTAGCATGTTCCTGGAGTCCCAGTTACTTGGGAGGCTGAAGTAAGAAAATGGCTTGAGACCAGGAGTTCCTGGATAGCTTGGCAAACATAGCAAGATCCCGTCTCAAAAAAAAATGGTGAACGGCTAAGCATGAAGCAAGCCTCAACCAATTTCAGAGGACTGAAACCACAGCAGTATGTTCTCTAACCCATGTACCAATGAACTAAACACCAGTAACAAAAACTGGAAAATAGCTGGGCTTGACATTTCATACCTATAATCCCAACACTTGGGAGACTGAGGCAGGAAGGTCTTAAGTTCAAAGCCAGTCTGAGCTAGATATGGAGACAGTCTCAAAAAGCCAAAATCAAACAAAACTGGAAAATACCCATGTGTTTGTAAATTTTTTAAATGTCCTTTTAAACAACCCATGGGGTAAAGAAATCACACTGCTAAGTAGGACATCCAGAACTGCACTCCGGAAAGGTCAGAGTAACTCTGCTGACAAAACCATGCCATGGGGGCTGCTAGATGGCCAGTCCATTTGTACTGCAGCAATTTCTCTGTGGAAAGGAGCAGCGGTGTTACATCAATACCAAATAAACACAGAAGAGGAATCCTGGAAGTAGGCAAAGATAGTCTTTCCTAGAACCCCCAGAACCACTGTGTTTGTTAATGATTTCTGAGCTATGTTGCAGTCCACACAGAATATAAGTAAGCATCAAAGTAGGTAAGTAGATGGCCTGGTAGTTTTCACGGTGTCTTCATTTTACAGCCCACATATGTGGTTAGAGGGAGGCAGCTTACCCCCCAGACTCTGTTAGTAATGTATCTGGCAATAGAGTTCAGAATCCCACTCCCCTTTTTTTCAGTACAATATGAAATAGGAAAGGTGTCTTCATTTGGGTTGCTATAACAAAATACCATAGAATGGGAGGCTTAAACAATAAACATTTGTTTCTCCAGTTCTGGAGACTAGAAGTCTAAGACCAAGGCACAAGTAGATGTGGTATCTGGTAAAGACTTACATCCTAGTTTGCAGATGTCCATCTTCCTGTTGTGCCCTCACATGTCAGGGAGCAGAGTGTGGAAGCAAGCTCTTTGGTGTCTTTTTATAAGGGCACTAATTCCATTCAGGGTTCCACCCTCATGACCTGATGACCTCCCACATGCTGTACTTCCTAATACCATCATTTTGGGGGCTAGGATTTCAACACAGGAATTTGGGTAGGGGACAAGACACAAACATTCAGTCCATAGCAAAAGTTGTTTCTACCTGTGTTTGATAACATGGAAAAAATGGTGGGGCCGAGGTGCAGCTCAATGGTGGAACAATGCTAAACATATGTGAGGACTTGGGCTCAATCCCTAGCATTAAAAGAAAAAAAACCCTCATATTTAGACTCAAGAATACTATCTTTATTTGGCTTAATGCTGTTATACAGGAAGTTCCTAAACAAGATGGGGGGTGAATTATATAATTCATATTAGCAGTCACAAAACTCATCGGCATATCTTCTACCAAAAAAAGAAATCATTAAACTCATTGGCATATCTTCTACCAAAAAAAGAAATCACTGTCTCAGGAAGGCATCATCTTGTCTAGATTTAGGCTTTTTTACTCCAAAATAACCAATTTCATAGAGAGCTCCTCAAAGTTTAACAGTAAGATGGGGGCGGGGGGCTGCCATGGTCTCGCCAAAGCTCCCCAGGAAGAGACTGTACATGTGGTTGAGTGTGAGGGTCAAGAGAGCAAAGGTCAGACACACTCCAGCCAAAACCAGCTCTTCTGGGAAGTGGGGAGAACAGTGTCTGCCTGAGGAGGCGGCATGAGGGTGAGACAGGGTCATGAGATCTACAGCCTGTCACAGGGCCTCCTTTGCACACTGTGCTCAATGAAGTTTCTGTCATTGTTCTGATATGGGGTATTGTGAGGATGGGTGTCACAGCAAATCAGCTCTGGAGAACTCCCACACCTCCAGCTAATCTCTTTATGTTCCATGGCCAATCTGCATCTTCAGAGAGAGAGAGAGAAAACAGTGGGAGCAGAGGGTGGGAAGGAAAAAAGGGAAGGGAAGGGAAGGGGGAAGGGAGGGAAGGGAAGGGGAAAAGAAAGAAGAAGGGAGCCCAGGGAGAGGCAGTCCAGGCAGCTTGTGGGTCCTTCGTTTACCCTCCAGGCCCCATTCCTTCTGGGTGTGTGTCTCTCTCAAGCAGTCCCTCCCTGAGGTGGCCACATCTCAGTGGCCAGCAAGTAGTAGACAGTAGTCCCCTTACCCATGGTGTCTGTGTGTTTCTCAGTGGTCCTAACAATGTCACATGGCCATGCCTTGACCTGTCACTTATACCAGGGAATGTGATGAGCGGGAATGACCATGATAAACCAAGCCTTGCTGCCGGGGTTGGGTCACTAACAAAGTTGAAGGGAATAATAGTCCCCCATAGAAATTAGGGCACCTTTACCAAAAGAGGGGTATAGCTTAACTTCTTGAAATTGCATGTAACCGTCTCATGATGTCTTGCCCAGGAAAAGATGTGTGTCTAGACTATTTATTCTTTTAAGCACAAATTCTACTAAAAACTCCCACAGGATCCAGATGTGCAAAAATGTTTTCTCCCAGTGATTTGCCCTTCTGTGCACTCAACAGTGTACCTCAAATAAGTCTCCCTGAGCCCCATCTCTGAGCCAACTCAGCTCGGCAGCATAAGAAAATATCTCCCTTGGGAGCATCATCCCTAGTTCTTGCTTTGGAGGCAGCAGGTGGTCCAGGCCTTATAGGAGCTGTCTCAGGCCTTCCACATTCCATCTCTTATGGCACCAATTCAGATCAAAAAGATCTACTGTCACATTCAGTATAGGAGGTAGAAAGCCTCACCCACCTACACCTAGAGCTGGACAACACTGAGTATGGGCTGTGCTTCTCACCTTTGTAGTCTGACACTGTTCCTGGACACCCACGATCTTGCTTGCTTCCTTGTGTCCATCTACTCCCTAGACCAGAACTGCCCACAGCCCCTTGTTGTGACCGAACATTCATGTCTGTGTTCCCCAGTGTGGTAGCTCCTGGTCATGTGTGGCTATTGAACATTTGAAATGAGACTACAATGTATGAGGAAGTGAATTTTTATTCAATTTCATTTAATTTACAGCTAAATAGCCACATGTAGCTAGTGCAATGGACAGCTCAGTAGTCCAGATACAGGTAAATCTGTCAAATAACAGTCTAAGATGAGTGAGGGGTTAGTGTGTATTTCCTCCCTGTAAGAGGATTAGGTTTTTTGAGTTACCTCTTAAATGGACAGGCTCCTTCCAGTTCTGTTATTAGGATTTCATTCAGCAAAAAAGACAAGCATTGAGGGCTGGGGTGTGGTTCAGTGGTAGAGTACCTGCCTCGCATGTGTAAGGTCCTGGTTTCCACCCCCAGCACTAGGGGAGGGGAGAGAATAGCATCAACCAAAAACATCTCCATGAACAGAGAATGAACAAAATAAAGCTTTATTTGAACACTCCTATAGATCATTCTGAGAATTTCTATCAGCAATGAGGAAACCTAAGCCATTTCATAAATGGCGCCATAACTACAGTCCACCAAGTCCAGTGCATAGTCCTTTATTTCTAGTGGTAACAAAAGACTATTACTCAGTATGTGCACATGCCACAGCCGCTGACACCCCCTGGGGACCATGGCATACTCACCTGATCACCTAAGAGGTCAGCATAGCTAAGGCCCATAGTAAGTATGCAGTACCCCAAACACCCCTTGAACACCTACACAGCTACAAGGCACTGAGCGTCAGACAGAGTGACCGTTCCCTGCCCTCAAGAACCCTGCTAAGGGGGCTACCTTCACATGTCACCACACCCTTAGCCCGTACATGCTTCAAACACTTAGCTATGAAATAAGCACTTAGTGACTTCGCGATTTACAACATCTTGCTAACATTCAGAGGACTTAAGGCACATTGAAAAAGAGAGACTTGACTTGGAGCTCCAGGTCTCATCACTAGGCAATAGTGATTCTTATTACCACAGTCACAGAGGAAAGGGTAGGCAGAGTCTCCAGGAACCAAGTACAGACTGAACTAGACCTCTAACAAATCACCTGAGTTTTCACTGGCTTCCAGAAACAACCCCACATATCTGGAGTATGTTGACATCCTACCAAGAGGCATGTAAGGAGAAAGAACATCTTTTCAGATCACAGTTTGGTGAAACAAACCCAACTGGAGTAGCTTCATAACTAAAGGTGGGCATAGTCACCTGTTACTTTGGAGTTAGGAGTTAGTTCCATCATAACACAAACCAAGTGCAAGAGAAGCAGCAGGAAAATGGGCCATACTGCAGGCTGGCAAGTTCTCAGGACAGCTATGTTCACAAAGAGGTACAAATATCTCTGATTCAAACTTTCAAAATATGCTGAACAATAATGAAAAGCGTACCCTCTGGTCATCAAATTTCCCTGTCAGTGGAGGCAAAAAGGGAGATTTTTATAGCTGTAAGTTTTACAAAGTGTGTGTACAAGTAAATTATCACATTACATTTGAACATTGTTCTCCCAAATATAAAAGTATAAAAAATAAAATATCTACCTTTAGTATCTAGAAATATCTGGAGAGAACATGATTGCTTCCAGCCCTAATTTGATTAAGCAGACCCCTCTATCAGGCTTCTGACCTCCCTGTCAAGAGGACACAGAGCTCAGAGGACAGTGACTTCAATCCTGGAAACCAAATCCAGGACAATTGGAACAGCCCTATCCACGTGTCCATGTGTAACAGAACCTCTCCACAGGTTACACTTCTGGGTCCCCCCCCCCAGAAGGTTGGAAGGGCTTCAGCCCGACTTCACATTGGGATGGTGTGTGTGGGTGTGTGCAGGGACAGGAGTAAGCCACCTTTGGGGCTCCATGCTGAGAGAACAAGTCAGGGTTCTGAGCGCTCGGTCTTAGTACAAGTGCCTAGGCAGAGGCTGCAGCTTCTCACTTAGCAGCAGCCTGCTTGTCTTTGTGCTTTTGGAAGGCACTCAGGATTTCCGTGACGACACTGGGGTCTTCCAGGGTGGTGGTATCTCCCAGGTCCTGGGCTCTGCTGGTAATGATCCTCTTCAGGAGCCGCCGCATGACTTTTCCAGACCGAGTTTTTGGAAGACGCTTCACCACCTAGCAAGAACAGGTGCAGCATAAGGACCTGGAGTGGCACTCAGCACCCACACCACCATCTGACTGCACTGAGATGAGGGCTTTGCTCAGGGTTGACGCCATCACTGGGACTCAGCAGTGGCTTGACTGATGTGTAGGGCCCTCCCCAGAGAACGGGGTCCACATGGGGTCTCTGGCTTTATCCTCCTACTGAAGGTAAAATCAACCCAAAGGGCAGGACCCACCGTGAGTCAGGGCTTTACTGAAGCTTCCACAGGCAGGGCCTGCTGTGCCTGGTTTACCTCACATGACACCTTTGTTTTTGTCCTGTCAGCTACCCACATGAGGGCTCTCAGAAAGCAACAGAGCCAACCACATGCCTGGCACCTCATCCCTGGCTGTAACTTAGTTGCCTTTGTCTTATATAAGAGGCAAAAGCCACTTAACAAAAGAATAGCAATAACCATAGCCATCAATACATTAAGAGCTGTGTTTGGGAATTTGTTTGTTTGGTGCTGAGGATTGAACCCAGGGCCTTCCAAGTGTGAGATCTTTAATAGTGACTCTGTCTTTGGAAATAGTTCACTTCACCTAAACACTCCAGTCACTAAGTAATGCGAATAGATCCTAAGAATCGCTGTGGGGGAAATGTTAATGAAAGAAGGAATAAAAAACCAAAATGGGCTGAAGAGGTGGCCCAGTATCCCCAACTGCATCAGGTGGGCAATCTCTCTGGCTGGCAACCAGAAATGGGTTCAGAATCCCCATGAGGCTGCAGAACTCTGGTACTTCCCACATGTCTATTTAAAATCCATAATTTAGTGTAGTTCAGTGGTAGAGTACTTGCCTAGCATATGCAAGACCCTGAGTCTGATACTACTATAATTTGGATTTTAAATGCTCCCCACAGCCCACGTGCTGAAGGCTTGATTTCCAGCCTGTAGTGCTACTGGGAGGTGGTCAAACCTTTAGGAGGTGGAACTAGTGGGAGGAAGTTAGGTCATTAGGGGCGTGCCTTTAAAGAGGATATTGGGACCCCAGCCCCTTCCTCTCTCTCTCTTTGCTTCCTAACCACAACGAAGTGAGCAGCTTTGTACTCCATGCCATGATGTACTGTGCTGCCACAGGTTTCAAAACAGTAGTCAACCAATTATGGACTGAAACCTCTGAAACTATGAGCCAAAAGAACACTTTTCCTCCTTTTAAGGAGGAACAGAAAGCTAATTCACATAGATTCCCACCACCACAAAAGAAAATTAAAAATAAAACCCCTAGTTCTCTCACCACCCAGTCCTATGCCAGTAGCCAGCCTCCATAAGCCAGAATACAAGAGCACCTAATCAGGAGAGCTATCTCCTACCAGGTGAGTGTGGCAAACTTTAGGTCCCTTATCCCACCATCCTCACCCACTACCCAGGAAAACCATACAGCTAATATTAGTTCTGATAGTGATCAGAAAGAAGCAACATATTTATAAAATATCATCATGGCTTGATAACTAAAGAAGGCAGAGAAGGAGGCTTTAAAAGAATGGTACAATCTCAACTAGAAGGGTCTACTCACAAGAATCTGGTCAGGCACAGCGTATTTGGCAATCTTGGTGGCCACTGCTGACTTGAGTTCATTTACCACCACATCTGCGTCACCTGTGTCATCTTTCAACACGATGAAGGCAAATGCAGCTGGAAGGAAAGCAAAGGGTTAGGAATATTGGTCCAACATTCGTTGTCAGTCACTGCCCAAGGCAGTGTTGTCCACAAAGTGCCATAAATCCAAAGAATTTTTAAATACTATGTTGGTTACACAGTGGCAGTTTGTTCCTTTTATTGCAGCCCTAAAGATACATTTCCACTGAAGGTCAAGTGGCAGCAGTCCCAATGTCTACACAAGCATCCTGGGTGGGGAGTCATGTGGTTGAGAGCTTGGCACCACAGCTCCAGTGCTGATAGCTGTGTGTGATCCAGGACATGTGACTTACACTCTGTTTCCTTAGCTATAAAAGAGCCCATGACGTGGGCTAACAGTTGGTGCACACACCCATCTAATGATCGTCTCTTAGGTGGATGGCCAGCATAACATGGCAGTCATTGACACTGTGGCTATTTAAGTTAAATTAAAAATCCATTTCTTTGTTGCACAGGCCACATTTCAAGTACTAGTCAACACCATGTATGTTAGAGGCTGCTGTGTTAGACAGCACAGACAGGGAACAGTTCTATCAGGGCAGAAAGTTCCACAGGCCAGCCCTGGCCAATCCTTACACCAGCAAACAGTATATGTGTCTATAGCATGGCAAGGTCCAGAAAGGATGCACACTGGATGCCACTGTCATACAAGGATCTAATCTTACTGTTTGCCCTATGAGAAATCATGTCTGACAACCCATCTCTCCCCTTCCCTCACACACTCAGTTTCTTTTATTTGGTAGGACTGAAGTCTGAACTCAGGGCTTCACACTTGCAATGTAGGCAGTCTACTGCTTGAGTCAAACATCTGGCCTGGTTATTTTGGAGATGGGGTCTTGTGAACTATTTGCCTGGGCTGGTCTCAACTGCGATCCTCCTGATCTCAGCCTCCCAAATAGCTAGGACTATGGGCATGAGCTACCAGGCCCCTGCTAAGTTTCTTTATACATATGTGCATTTATTATTCATTTGCCTGTTTACCCCTAAACCAACTCCCTTCATCTAATTCCTTCTTCTCCTAACACATCTTACCTACCTCATGTCTGTTCATGTCTGTCTCTCCCCCTCTATCCCCTGATACAGCATGGTAGCTCCATGAGAAGACAGACTTTGTGTATTTCACAACCACTGCTGTGTTCCTAACATCTAAAACTATGCCTGGAGTATAGAAGGTGCTCAACCAAAGCTTATTAGGATCAATGAATGGTTGTCTCCTGAATAAGCAACGGTCTATAGCGCCCTACAGCTTTTGCCTCAAAATGCCCACCTACACTATAGCCACCTGGCAGACTCCTATTAATCTCTCAGGACCCAGTTCAGTCACTTTACAATCTGTGAAGCCTTTTCTGACTCTGTCCATGAATCTAGTGTGGTCTGTTGGTCCCATCACCCCCACCCCACCAGACTGTGAGTTCTTTGATGGAAAAAAACATATTTTTGGGGTTTTTTGGTGGTTGAGGTAACATTGGAAGTAGGCTGGGACCATTGGTTTCTAAGGCAGAGATAAAAGAAGGAAACCACATGGAATGAGAGTAAGTTAAGAGCCAGACAAATGTGTTCAAGGTCCAGGATGTCAGAGACCAGAAGGACAAGAGCCTGTCAGAGGCTACAAGGGCCGGGTCCTAATCAAACTAGACTCAGGCCTTCTTTCTCTGCTTCCACCCTGAGGTAAGCAGCCTCCTCCTCCACATACTCCTGCCACCATGATGTTCTGCCTTAATACAGGCCCAGAATTAACACAGCCAAGGATTGTAGACTGAGATCTCTGCAACCATGAGTCAGAGGAACTTTGTCACAGTGACAAGAAAAGAAACTAACACAGAAAACTGGCACCATAGAGGGGGTCATTGTCATTGCTGTGGCTAACCCTGACCAGGTGGTTATTAAGCCTTTGGCACAGGTTTCCAGGAGGAACTTGGAAGTTTGGAGATGATGGCTAGAGAAGCCAGCCCTAGGAATGTTATAAGCAGAGCTTAATGAGTCATTCTCGTGGGAGCTTAGAAGACCAGAATGCCAATAGAAATGTGGACAGTAAAGATGGTGTTCATATTTCAGATGGGAACAAGTACTCTGGTGGGAATTGGACTAGGGGCCATTCCTGTTACATTCTGGCAAAGAACCTTGGCTACAATTTGTCTGTGTCCTAAGACTTTGAGAGAGGCTGAGTTTAGAGGTGATGGACTAATCTTGCAAAGGAAATTCCAAGGCATTCTAGCATTCAGGCTGTGGCATGGTTATTGCTAGCTGCTTTTATCCAGGTTACAGTAAGAATTGGGAGCAAAAAAGCAGAGCAGAAAGACTTAAAAATTTCTGCAGTTTGTTCAGAAAAGCCAGTTAAAAGTTGGGGCTCAGGAAGGAAGGGTTTCTGAAGACATTAGCACAATTGAAAAGAAGCCAAGAACTTTGCACAGAGACATTAGGAGATACGTCTTGAGAGCATCTCAGGAATTGGCCAGATCACACTGAAGGGTATGAAAAAGTAAACTCATTTGAAATACCCTTGAGAACAGAGCACCTTCAGGGCACCCTGCTTCTAAGTGGCTTCCTAGGATGTCGTTCCCCCAGGATTCAATTCAACATGCTCACTCAAGCCCTCTGAGGCCAACAGAGATATAGTTCAACAAGGCCCAGCTACTGCTCGAGCAGGCAACAGACCTTGATGTCATCCATCTAATGCTGGTTTTGCAGGCATGTAAAGTGCAAGAGTTACAAGGTCATGGAAGCTTCCACCCTTATGTCAAAGGAAGGGCTGGTAGGTTAGACAATGTGTGACCAGGTCCAAATTCTTGCAGGTAATGCAGAAAGCTGTGACAGTGAAGCCTAAGTTGCAGTGGAAACCCCAAGATGTTGGAATTGCCAGGAATGTGGAACATTGCAGGCAATGAATGGAACTAGCCCTACAGAGAGGCCATGTGGGCTACAAATGGCAGGCCATAGCAGCGGTGGCTGTCCATGCATGTTGGAACTCACATCATAACACCATGTGACCCAAATGTAATACATGGAGCTACAAGGATTTAATGTCCGCTGGGTTTTGTTCTTGCTTTGGTCCCATTCCTCTTTTCTGTGCTCCTATTCCTTCCTTTTGGAATGGGAATGTGCATTCCACCATTGTATCTTGGAAGTATGCATTTGTTTTTGATTCTACAGAGTTCACAGCTAAGCCTCTGAGAAGACTTCTAACTTGGGCTTTTGAACAATGTTGGAACTGGTAAGACTCTAGGTCTTCTTAGAGATGGATTATATGCATTTTGCATTATAAGACATCTATAGCCTTTGGAGGCCAGGGTTAGAATGTTATGGTTTGAATATGAACTGTCCCCCACAGGCTCATGTGTTACACACTTATTCCCCACTTAGTAACACTATTTTGGGAGGTTCTGGAAACTTTAGAGGCAGGGCCAAATTGGAAGAAGATCACGGGTGGGGGTGGTGTTCTTTGGAGATACATCTTGCCCTGACCTCTTCCTGTATTTCATTTCTCTCTGGTTCCTATCTGCCATGAGGGGAATAATCTCCTCATCCTCTACATGCCTGTGCCACCATCATGTTCTGCCTCAACACAGGCCCAGACTCAGTGGAGCTAAGGACTACAGGGTGAAATCTCTAAAACATGAGCCAAAATAAAATCTTACTCCTTTTAAAAAAAAAAAAAAACCCAGACCCACAGGCTCCCCTCACTTAGATCAAGTGCAAAATGGAATGGGGGCAAACACATAAGTTTCAGATAGCTTTAGGACTAACCAAGAACTGTTAATGGGTTACTAATGAATTACAAGTAGACACTCAATTTTGTTAGAAACCAGGAATATGTCTATCACCATATCCATGACATGTAAATTCTCGCCCACAAGCTTCTAGGCATTAAAGGTCTGGCAATACAGACTTGCTTAAGATGAAGAAAATTGTTGAGAGCTGCCAATGGATCAGAAAATGGTCCAAGGGCCCTGAGAGAACCAGGTGCCTAAGTGTTACACAGAAGAGCCCAAAGAAGCTCACACACAGGCAGAACATCCTGGGCAGCATAGCTCCTAGCAAAGCACAACATGATCTACCATACCTAAAGCTGCTCTGCGAAAGGCAGTGACTGTCACTCCCCCTATTTGTTGAAAGTTCACTTTACAGTGGGCCTCAGTTGATCTTGGTCATATTTTTTGGGATTCATCCAGGTACTAGTGGGCCCCCAAGACAGAGTAGAAGATATCTGTGGTTGTAAATCTCTTTTAGCAGTCCCTTGACCTCTCAAAGACCCAGGTTCTGAGCCAGAAGCACTGGCTCAGCCGCAGGACTCAGATGCACTAAGCTCCCATGGATTCCAAACCCTGGGAACACACTAACCACCCCATGAACCCTCAAACTACAGCGTTGTAAAATGCAAGGTTCCCCAAAAGTGGGGTCCAGATGGGACAAAAAGTTACCCCGAGTCATCCATGAGGAATGGTTCCTGTCTCCATCCACTTCCCATACCAGTTATATCCAGACAACCCTTCTGCTGGGTGCTACCCCTAACAGCTCTCTCCTACCCCCCATCTCCATTCACAAAGTCAAAGCTGCCTTATTAAGATATCTGTTTCATGGCAACTGAAAATACTATCTCACCATGTAGCCCAGGCTGTCCTTGAACTTGAGATCTTCCTGCCTCAGCCTCCCAAGGGCTGAGATTACAGGCATGTGACACTACACCTGGCTCCCTATTTTTATGGGAGAGGGAGCAATACTGGGGTTTTGAACTCAGTGCTTGCTAGGCAAGTCCTCTACCACTTGATCCACACCTCCAGTCCTAAAAAATACTGTTTTTAAATGAATTTTAAATTTTACCATGGGTCAATTAAAAGAAAGTATTTGAGGGGCTGGGGCTGTAGCTCACTAGTACAGTGCATGCTTAGTATGCACAAGGCCCTGGCTTCAATCCCCAGCATCCAAAAAATTAAAGAAAGTGTTTGAGTAAATAATGAAAGGGTGGCATACAAATGTGGCACAGACAGGCAGGTGACATTTGAGCAAGTTATCACACAGTTGCGAGAGAGAACACTCAATCCCAGGCCATTGGGCAGGACAGAAGAGTGACCTCCCACAGGGTCAAGGTGTGTCTGGTCACACCAGGCCAAGCCTCTGTGGCAGCTGTGAACCTGATATTACAACACTCAGTGCTCTTGCTCCTTCCCAGACATAGTCACTTATTAGTTGGCTGGCTTTGGAACAAAGTATGTCCTTGGTTAAGAAGACTATTCTAATCATTCATTCTGCCTTCCCCCTGCATGCCACTGTGCAGTGAGAATCGCAGGTCATATTTCTTCAGAGTCCCAGTGCAGCAAACAGTCTGCTCCAGGGCATATCCTGACATGCAGTATTGGTGGCTACAGAGCTGGCACAAGTGCTATAACTGAGCAAGTGAGTGGGGGAGGACATGTGTGGCTGGATGTTTCTTATAAACTGTAATGGGACTGGACAGTGCCCCAGTCAGATGCTCCAAGGACAGAGGAGAAAACCAACCATGCTCAGCCAGGGGCCAAATAGGTCATGGCTTCTTGTGGATGAAAGTCCTAAGAACAGTGAAGCCTGGACATTTGAGAACTGACCCTAACCTGACATACATGTTATCTGGCTTCCTCACCCAAAATCTCTACTTGAGGGAGAAAAAAAGCAATAGTTTGGCCCATAAGAACCCATATCACCACACTTCCTGAGACTATCCCTTCTATGGAGACACCATGCTGGGCATAAGCCAGGAATCAGAGATGAGGGCCTCCTGTGGACGCTCACCTTCTCCCTTGATGGCATGGGGGTAGCCAATGACAGCAGTTTCCGGCACTGAAGGGTGGTCAGCCTGTGCACAGCAGAGAACAAAAAGGACCCTGAGGTGACTCAGGGTGCACATTCCCACCCCAACTCTAAGGTCAACAGAGGCACTGTGGAGGTGTGGGGCAAAGGAGAGGCCCAGGCTAAGCTCACCATCGCATCCTCAATCTCCGCAGTCCCTAGGCGGTGGCCACTGATGTTGATGACATCGTCCATACGCCCTGTGATCTGATAATAGCCATGTTCAGTTCGGTAAGCCCCATCTCCAGTGAAGTAGTAGCCTGCACCATGTAAGGAGCAAGAGGAATTTAGTATGAGTAAGTTTGAATCGGGCCCCAGCAGGGCTCCTAGCCTTCTATGAGGGACACCATCGGTGCCATGTCCTAACCTCAGTCTACAGACTAACTCTGAAGCTGGCTGGCTGTGTTGCTAGCCTGCTGGCTCTCCCTGAAGCTCCTAAAGCAGACTCTGCTCTAAATGGCGCCCCTGCACTGCGTTCTGGTCGATGAATAGGTAGGGCCAAACCAGCAAAACACTGCTGACATCAAGGCTGCAAATATCCAGGGAGCAGAGCACAGACAAGCAGCACATTCAAGAAGCCTTCACAAAATGAGTCTCAGCTCCAAACTTCAGACTAAAAATTACTGGTTCCAACACACTAGAGTAGATGGCATTCATACAAACTTCCAACTCAATGAGACAAAAGCAAACCAGGAAAGGAAAAAAAAAATCAATGTAAACTGCGAGAAAACTTCTGGTCTTCATGACAGTTTTCCAAGGTGGTTTCTACACGTTTCTTTCCTAATAGAGAACAGGACAGCCACCACAGGCTGGTGCTGTGCTATGGCTGCACCTGTGTGTCCACCCAGCCCCACAGCGGCCCCTGTAGTGGGACTGGCTCTCAGTCAAGATAAGGAAAGTCAGGGCAGAAGAGGAAAGGGGCTGGAGTAAAAACCGAGCCTCCAAAGTGCCTGTTCTACATCACTATGTTGCACTGCACTCAGTTACCATTAACTTTCCCCAGTCTCCAGAAACACGATTCCAGTAATCTATGGGAAAGGCAGAAGGGACCACTAAAGCAACTCACCTGGATACACCCTGAAGTAGGCATCTATGAACCTCTGGTGATCTCCATAGATGGTCCTGGCCATGCCCGGCCAGGCCTGGGAGATGCACAGGGCCCCGGAGACATCGCTGCCCTCCACAATGTTGCCCTGCAGACACAGGGAGGCACATGTGAGAGTGGGCAGGTTCTAGGTGAGAGGCAAAGAGCTGTCAAGCAGCATCGTCCTCCTAACTGCTTGGACTGAGGAATAAAGTGACAAGTAGGGCCCTAATGGACCTGTCCAGAGCTGTCCTCCCAAGAGAAGGAGAGCACAAGCTTGTCCCACACAGTGATGCCATCAGCTGTGTCTCTCTGAGAGGAGGCTGCTGTGAGTGTCTGAAGACCTGGTCTTTCCTCTGACACCAGGCCCTGCATGTACATGATGAGGGAGTGGGCAGGGATGGTGGGAGACTTGCCAAGTGAGCACAGCAAGGCACATGTGCAAGGGACAGCCTCTACAGGGCACCACACACCTTCTCATCCATGAGAGCAGGGACAATGCCAAAAAAGGGCCTCATTGCCATGCCGGGGAGGATCTCCGCTCCTTCTTCTGAGGGCCGAGGTGCAATGCAGATACCACCTGTTTCTGTGGAGAGTACAAGAAGAAAAGCATGGGAGCCAGTGACAGATGTGTCCAGACTGTGTACTCACCCATTGCATCTACCAGAGCGGGGCGTGGGTGGGACCATCCCTGTCTGGGACAAGGAAACAGCCCCTGTGGCATGGCATGGGATCACTTATCCAAGGCCAACTGGGCATGGGTTCTGGTCTTCTCCACTTTGGACACCAAAGGGACCCTAAGGCAGGTTCCAGAAGCTCTGCATTTGGCAGCTGGGTGTAGGTGCCTCCCTTCACTCAGTGTGGTCCTCCTTGTTTGAGGTAGGAAAGGGCAGAGTCCACCCACTCATACAGGATGATGAAGGAAAAGAATTGCTCTGGGCCAGTGCCCACTCAGTGCAGATCCAACAATGAAAGAGATGACCATGAGGACCTGTCTCCCTGTCATTTCTCTGGTACTCACTCTGTCAATCTGTATAGAAATGTGTCATGAGACTCAGCTGTAAAAGTTTCTCTATCCAGTGCCTTCCTGCATGGATAAAGGTGTGCTATTTGGAACATCTTGCTTGCTGGCAACTTGAAGGATAAAACCTTAGATAGCTATATTATTCTATCAGTGATGGTCTCTTACCCCAAATATTCCAGTAACTCAAATACTCAAGAGGGGAAGGGACAAATAAAAACAAGATGCCACAGAAAAACTCCCTTTTCCCCTCTAAAATTCAAATTTTGACTCATTGTCCCTTGACCTATCTTATCAGATACAGCTGTGTTCAGAAAAGGGCTGGAGATTTAACTCAGTGGTAAAGCACTTGCCCAACATGCAGAGGACCTAGGGCTTGATCCCCAGCACTACAAAAAAGTAAATGAAAAACGAAAGAAAGGGGAGGAAAGTTTAGAGGGAAGGAGGGAGAGAGGAGGAAAAGGAGGAAGGGAGGGAGGAAGGAAGGAAGGAAGGAAGGAAGGAAGGAAGGAGGGAGGGAGGGAGGGAGGGAGGGAGGGAGGGAGGGAGGGAGGGAGGAAGGAGGAAGGAAGGAAGGCAGGCTACAGAGAAAAGTGTACCCTGAGAATTTTTACTATACACCAGACCTTGACCACTTGCCTTAGTTGGTGTTACCTTATTTGATCTTTACCCAAGGTTGGAGGGGGTGCCCTCACTTTACAAGCAAGGAAACCAAGAAGTCATTACACATCTTTGTCCAGTTGAAAAATGATGGCCAGGTTGTACCTCTGAGCTCTCTCACTCAGCACCAATGTCCAAAGGTTTGCTGAGAGTTCAAATCTTGGCCTCAGTCTTACATGAGCCCCTCCAGTCTCAGCATTAGGCTAGACACCAGTTCCCAGGCTCGTCCTGACTCCTCCTCAGGGACACGCTCACCTGTCTGCCACCAGGTGTCCACCAGTGTGCATCTGCTGTCCCCCACTACACGGTGGAGCCACTCCCAGGCCTCGTGGTTAATAGGCTCTCCCACTGAAACCACACAAAGAGGAAAAAGAAATTAATAGACCTCAAATAAACCTAAAGCCAAAAGGAACAGATTGTTAGCAGGAAACAACTCCATCATTTCTCTAAAGGACATATGAGGAAAACTGCAGAGGCTGTCAGCTCATCATGCATGGGAGAAATGCAAATTACAACAAGGTACTTTCAACATTGGGAGGTCAAAAGACAAAGCGCTGGCAAGAATGTGGGCAAAACAGGATGTCACCACACATTGTAGAAGTATAATTTGGCACAGAAATTTTGAGGGGCAACTGGGACATTTCTCTTAATGTCCCAGTTAATTTAAGAGTGCAGGCTGCAGCCAGGTGCCAGTGGCTCATGCCTGTAATCCTAGCTACTCCGGAGGCAGAGATCAGGAAGATAGCAGATCAAAGCCAGCCCAGGCAAAAGTTCTCAAGACCCTATCTTGGAAAAAAAAAAAAAAAAGCAACCCATAACAAAAAAGGACTGGTGGAGTGGTTCAAGTTGTAGGCCCTGAGTTCAAGCCCGAATATGGCAAAAAAAAAAAAAAAAAAAGAAGAGTGTAGGCCAGATGCCAGTGGCTCACATCCATAATCCTAGATACTTGGGAGGCTGAGATCAAGAGGATTGCAGTTCAAGGCCAATCCATGCAAACAGTTCATGAGACTCCATCTCCAAAATAACCAAAGCAAAATAGACTGAAGATGAGGCTCAATTGGTAGGGCACCTGGTTTTCGAGCATGAAGCTCTGAGTTCAAACCTTAGTCCCACAAAAAAAAAAAAGTGCAAAAACTGCATATAACTATTAGAGGCAAAATCCATTAAAGCCAAAGATATGTTTACTCTACCACCTCAAAATTTGACTCCTGACATATGCTCTACAGAACTGATAAAGATGCTTCCCAAAAATGGCCATGAAAAATATGGACCCAAGCAGCTCTGTTCCTAACAGCCAGAAACTACAAACTGCTCCTCAAGAATGAAATGGGTAAGTGATAGGACATTCATGCAATGGAATACCATATTACTACAAAAATAAACCAAAACCACTGCTACCCCAACATGCTGTGCGATCCCATCTACACAAAGTTCAAAACATGCAAATTAACCCACAGTGAGAGGGGTCAAATAGTGATCTCGGCTAGGGACTACTGAAGGAAGCCTTCTATGTTGTAGTCTACATCCATATTCTTTCATTTCTACAGCCTGATCTGGATGGTGGTCATCTCTCTATTACTGAAGAAAGCACTCATGAAACTGAGCACCAACATCTGTGCATTTTACCCTAACAGAAAGGAAAAGAAGTGCTTTTGCTCTGGGATCCCACCTCTCAGTGTCTATCCTAACAAGAATGCCCCCAAAGCTGGTATGTGACTTGTGCTCACCAGTTTAGACCCACTATGGCTGAAGCAATGAAAACCTCACCTGCTGGCTGCCTCCTGCTCAGAACCACCCCATCAACACTCATCCTGGCAGAGCCCCCAGGTCCACCTGCACAAGCACACCCTCTCCTGCCACAGCGCCGTGCTCACCTGACCCCAGAGTGCGCAGAGAGGAGCGGTCATACTTCTTCACCCAGTCATCACCATACTTCAGCAGCAGCCGGATGGCTGTTGGGGCACCGTAGAACTGACTGATCTTTAACCTCTGCACTGTCTCCCAGTACCGACCTACAACAGGGCCCAAGCCTGTGGTCAGTAAGGGAGCCCACCAAACACCATCTGCTTCACACACATTTGGAGGCAAGCTTAGAGTTACTGAGGGCTGGGTATGTGTATCCATCTGCACGTCATCATAGAAAAGGAGCCCATACTAGTCCTTGATTCAGAAGGGAGCCCCAAGAGGATGGAGTCCCAAAGGCAGCCTTTTCCCAGCGTCCCCCAAATCCAAGTGGGCATGTGTGGGAACAGTCTGCACCTGGCCTTGGATGACTACATCTACACAGGGTACCCCACATGAGCTAGCCAGGAATTAGTTCAAAGGGTATCACTGCAAATTTTTTTTAATGACATAGAACTTTGGCTCAGTCATGATTGAATAGCTTCTAAAGGGATGACTGGTCTTCCCCTGGTAATAGTGCAGCTACTGCTTGTGTGTGGGACAAAGGCCACATGCCCAGCACACACACACACACACACACACACACATCCTTAACTCTGCAAAGTCCCCTAAGTCACCCCATTCACACTTATTAGTGAAGTGACACAAATAAGACCACACCTGAACCTAGCCATCCATCCCTTGCATTGCCCTTACACCCTCTCCCTTGAGTGTACACAGCCTCATTTGGCAGTTGAGAAGAGCAAGGAGGCAGGTAAGGAAGAAGCCTACACACCTGACAGTCAGCACTGTGGAATTCTCAGTCAAGAGCAGGCGGGAAGAGCCACCACTATTTAATTGCATTAAAGCAAATACTTGGGGACACTGTATTGTATAATAGAAGCCAAAGGACCTGACCATGTCCTCAAACTGACCTCAATTTAATAGAGGTGACTCCAGGCCTCACAAGACTCTGGCAGCAGGGCTGGAGTAGGTAGGGAAGGTAGACAGCTGGCCTGGACTTTGATGAAAGGCCAGATCTGGTCAGGTGAGGTGGCTACAGAGGTGAAAGGGCAATGCTAAAGTGATGACCTAAGGAGGCAGCTCAGGTTAGAGGGACAGGAATGCTGGAATGGGTCACTTGGAAGTGAGATGTCTTCTGGCTCCTAATCAACTCCCTCCTACTGCTCATGAGATCATCCTCACACAGCACTGGCTCAATGCCTGGTCTACCCAGCAGGGCTCAATGCCCAGAAGCTCTGGTGTCTAGCTGGCATCTTATCAATAGGACCACAAGAACCACAGCCTCACCAGAGCCTAGTGGCTTGTCCTGCACTCAAGCAGTAGCTGCACTATTACTACGGGAAGACCAATCATCCCTTTAGAGGCTATTCAATCATGACTGAGCCAAAGTCATTAAAAAAAATTTTCAGTGATACCCTTTGAACTAATTCCTGGTTTGCTCATGTGGGGTACCCCATGTAGATGTAGTCATCCAAGGCTATCCTCTACCCTACTGAGGATCTTTTCTCCAGCCTCAAACTCCCTCCTCTGCCACCCCAGTGCAGGTCCCAAACAAGGTCCTCCATTCTCACCAGCATCAGGATAAACTGGGGTGCTCTCAAAAAGAACACTAGTGGCTCCATTGCAGAGGGGACCATATACCACATAGCTGTGACCAGTGATCCAGCCGATATCAGCCACACAGCCAAAGACATCACCAGGCTGGTAGTCAAACACGAGCTGCAGACAAGGAGGGGACAATCAGGAGCTTGTCCTCTCCACACCACCAAGTTCCTGCATATCACTAAGACATGGCCATGTGTGAATAGTGAGCCACAGCCACCATGGCCACCAGCAGCAGGATGAGTGAGTACACTACAGAGACCTCACGCAGCACACAGCAGGGAAGAGGCAGAATTCCTGATTCAGGTAACAGCACTCTGACCCTTGCAGATATAAGTGGGCAAAAGAAGCCAGGTACAAATGAGTGCACACTGCGTAAGTCCCTAGAGAGAAACTCAAAGCCAGACAAAACTGATCTAGGTGATCTGGAGATCACCTGTAGGAACACATGGGAGCCTTCCAAAGCTGGAGATGTCCCATGTCCTGAAACAAATGTGCACCCAGAGGCAAACTCTATCTGGTTGTATACCTGAATTGTTGGTATGACTCAGTGGTAGAGCACATGCTTAGCATGCATGAGGCCCAGGGTTCACTCTCCAGCACCAAAAAGAAGAGGGGAAAATATGGGCACCTTTCTGAATTACTTTATGCGCTACTTTTAATCCTTCAAAAACTTTAAAAAAATAAAAGCCAAAAATTGCATTAAGCATCATCAGCTGCTAAAAGCATAAGAGGAGACATTTCCCTCTTCTTCCTTCTTGCCAAAGGGTCCAACCAAAGCCTGATCTATCTCAGGATCAGACTGCCCATCTGCAGGAGACACAGAACAGAGACCCCAGGGCAAATGGCCAGATACTACAACAAACAAAGTCTAAGGAAATGTAAGGGATGGAGAGGAACTCATAAGTTTAAAAAAAATGTAGTAGACAAAAAACTTGCAATGGGCAAGAGTAAGCTATAGTATCCAGGAATGCACTTTTGGCTCAGATGCAGAACCCAGACTCTTTGCACATGTATGTACACCTGCTCTGCACTCACAGCAGCCTGCTCCTGAATACACCATAAGTAAACATAGGCACTGCACCCCAACGGGCATTATTCTGCCACAGGAAGAGTTCTGGTCCTAACTGTAGCCCCTCCCCATACTTCTCAGAGCCTGCCAGGGGCACACCACCACCCAATCCCTGCCCCTCCGCAGACCCTACCTTGTGTGTCAGGGCAGCATAGAGCAGGTAGCCCGCCTGGGTGTGGACGAGTCCCTTGGGAGACCCAGTGCTCCCTGAGGTATACAGCATGAAGAGCATATCCTCGCTGCCCATGCTCTCTGGGGCGCACACAGGGGCTTCCTTGTCCATCTCCTGAAAGGGAGAAGCATACAGGCTATTCAGAGCATGTAGCCTCTCCCTTTGGCCTCCCTGAGAACATCACTGTCCCAGCTGCTGCAGGACTGTACAGACTAGATTCAGAGTTCACCTTCTCTGGCCTGCCCAGGTTCAACTTCAAATGCAGAAAGCACACAAAATAAAAATATAGATCAGGCTGGCACATAGCCCAGTGGTAGAGCTTGTGCTTAGCATGTGAAAGGTTAAATCCCCAGGGAGAAAAAAAGTGGTAACTACTACCAGGGAACCCTGGACACTCTAAGGAACCCAGATTGAGAACCATAACCCAACAAGACCAGGCCCAGTTAACCTCCTCGAGCTACAGAAAGTGAAGCAAACCCACCTGCTCAAGGTGGACGTCCAGATCCCCCATGTGGACCTTGTTGTCCGTCCTGTGAGCCACCAGGACGTGCTGGATGGTTGGGCAATTCTTTACAGCCTCGTCCACTATTTTCTTCAGCTCCACCACACGCCCTCCCCGGAGTCCTTGGTTGAAGGTGATAACCACCTTGCACTTGGCTGAGGGAGACAACATGGACAAGTCTGATCAGTTTCCTTCCCTCTCTGACTCTCACAGCTGCATTTGCAGCCATTAATTCCAAGCTTAACAGTGAGATAGAGAAAGTCCAATCTTGAGTAAAAGTGAAAAAACAAGAGCTGGTGAAGTGGCTCAAGTGGCAGAGCACCTGCCTAGCAAGCACGAGGCCCTGAGTTCAAATCCCAGTACCACTAAAAAAAAAAAAAAAAGAGTGCAGGTCTCCCTGCTTTTCGACCTCAGTGTGCCATTCAGAAGTACCAGGACTCTCCCTAACTCTGAGGATGAGCAGAAAGAACCAGGGACAAATCTCCTTGAAGTTCAACTCTTCTGCCTCCGGTGGGTACATGAAGACAGTTTCCTAACTTGACCTTCACTCCTCTCTCTTATCTGTCCCAGGAGCTCTCCACAGATAAACGGCTATTGCAGCATTTGCACCAACTATGATACCAAAGCAACAGCAAAAGACAGACACCAAGCCCCAAAGAGTCCCTCCAGGGTGATAAGTGTAGGCCAAAACACTTCACTGTCCAGCGAATAGAGCCCTCACCCAGGAGGGTGCCCTCACCTTCAGGAACACTCTCCCAGCTCCATACCTGCTCTTCAGTGACCCACCCAGGCTTGGCCAGGCCTGAGACTTTGCTGAGGAACCTGAGCTTCACAACCAAACCAGAGTGAGGGCCAGCACCAGGCATAAGGAACACACACACACACATACACGGCCTGAGCACCACAGGGCAAAGGAATTACCCTCCACACTGTGCCTAGATGTGGGATCACCCAGAAAGTCTCAGCTGTGGTGGGTTATCCAGTCAGCCCCTAAGGAAGAACCTGCAGCACTTGTAGTATTGCCTAGCAGGTCTCACCTACATCCTTGAGGCCTTTTAATCACTCTCTATCAAAGGCCTCTACCAGCACCGGGAGCAAAAGTGCTGGGGACTTGCTCCCACCCCCAGCTGTCCTCAACCAGTGGCTCTCGAGACAATAAATACCTCAACTCCCTGCCTGGCATGTGGGTTCATTCTGATACACAGAGGCTACATTATCATCCACTCTTCTCTATGGATGAAACTGGCCACCCAGTGAATTCCTCATCCTGACCCCACTTTCCACTGCCTGTGCTGCTTCCTAGAATCACTTCACCCACAAGCTGAAGGGAGAGGTTCCTGCTGCAGCCTCAGAGCTGGCCTGAATCTCTAGTTATTCCGAAGTCCTAGGGTTCTGGGAGCTGCCCCCGCACCCGGTTACTAAGTCCCTACATGCTGCAGCCATCTAGATTTACTACTATTGCTTGTCTCAGAGAATCTTAGCAGACACACTTGGTAACTATGGCCACACCAGCAAGAGAGGAAAGGCACAGCCTGTGTGATGCTAAAAGCATGAATACTGGTAGAAAATCTTTTGTTTTCCCACTTACCAGCTGTGTGGCTCTGGGTAAGTCACTTAACCTATCTGTGTCTTATCATTAAAAATGGAATGGTACTCCAAATAAAAGACCAGGACCGGACAGCTTCACTGGTGAGTGAAAAATTAGCATTTATAGAATTAACACAAACCCTTCTCACACTCTTCCAAAAAAAACTGAGGCAGAGGATATTTCCAAACTCATTCTATGAGGTCATCATCACTCTGATACCAAAGCCAGGCAAAGACACTAAAGGAAAAGAAAACTACAGACCAATATCCCTAATAAACAATGATGCAAAAATTCTCAACACAACACTATTAACAGAATTATATCCTAGGACCAAGTGGAATTTTTTCCCAAGAAAGCAAGGTTGGTTGAATATGCAAAACTCAACAATGTAATACTAACAGAGCCATAGAAAAGCCCGTATCTCAATTAATGCAGTGTTTGACAAAATTCTACACCTTTCATGATAAAAAACAAAAACACAGTTAACAAACCAGGAACTCCCTCAATCTGATAAAGGGCATCCCTGAAAATCCACAGCCAACATACTCAACAGTGAAAGACCAAAGCCTTCCCTTTAGGATCAGGAAACAGACAAGGATGCCTGCTTACATCACTGCCATTCAGCATTGTAACAGAAGTTCTAGCCAGAGCAATCAGTCAGGAAAAAGAAGTAAAACAACATCCAAAGTGAAAAGGAAGAAATAAAACTATCTCTTCACAGATGGGACAGTTCTACAGGTAAATCTACAAAAACTATTAAAGTTATCAGCAAAGTTAAAGGATACAAGATCAACATGCAAAAATTAGTTGTATTTTCCAGAATTGGTGGGGCATACCTATAATCCCAGCACTCAGAGATGGAAGCAGGAGGAGCAAAAGTTAGAGGGCAGCTTGGACTACACAGTGAGACCCTGTTTCAAAAAACCAGTGGCTGTGGATGTAGCTCAGTGGCCAAACCCTTACCTAATATGCATAAGGCCCTGGGTTAGATTCCTGAGGATCCCCAAAAAAATAAGCTATATTTCTATCTAGCAATGAATAACCTGCAAAGGAAATAAAGAGAACATGAAACATAAGAACTCTTAGGGGATCTCAGAAGCTGGTATCTTCCTTGGGGAGGCAGTTCAAGGGACTGTGAAGGAGAGGGCAGAGATCAGATTGCACAGGCACCAGGCCACCATCCAGACTTTGGGCCACCAGCTAGACAGCAAGAGCAAGGAGACACTGCTGTTCTGATCTTTCCAGAGACTCTGACCCACCTGCAGTCAGAAAGCCTTTAATATACACCACATGCCCCTTCCCCTGCATCCAAGCTTCCAGACACATCCAGCTTTGCTCCTTACACCTGTGGCACCTTCAATACATCTCCAGCCTCATCTGGCCTCCATGCTCTCTCCCGGCCTTGTAGCCCTGCCAGCTCCCTCCTGCACCTCACACAGAATGTGCTCCTCCCACTGTCTAGCCGGTGCCTCTGCTGTTTTCTCTACTTGGAGCTATCTTCCTCATCTGGTCAAATGCAACACACTCAGATTTCAGCTCATGAAACAAATGCTCATTTTGGTCCATGTGCATGTCCCTGGTAGTATCCGTTACTTGTCTATATGACTTTTTATTCGTATCTAGCTCCACTCTAATGTCTCCATCCTGATGGCCAGATCTCCAGGAACAAGAACCTGGAGACTCCCAAGGCCCTCCCCTCCGACTTCTCCTGTGCTCACCATCATTGATTCTCCCAGCCAAGGACTCTGCACTGAATCCAGCAAAGACAACGGTGTGTACAGCTCCAATTCTTGCACAGGCCAGCATTGCTGCCACAGCAAGTGGGGACACGGGCATGTAGATGGCCACACGGTCCCCTCGGTGGACTCCATGCCTCTTCAGCGTGTTGGCCAGGCGACATGTGGTCTCCAGCAATTCCCTGCATCACAGGAAAGAGAAGGACATGAGAACTAGGGAAGGGCTAATGTGCAAAATAGTTTCATAAACTGTAAGTACTGCACACCCAGCTTACTGCAGAAAGGACAGCAGGCACTTGAGAACACGTTACATGGCAAATTGTTTTCCAGAAAGAAATTATTTTAATATTTGTTCATTCACCGCCACATCGCCAAGGCGATAAGACCGTCTCTGCAGATTTCAAGTAATTTCTCAGAGAATACACGTATCTGAAGTATAGATGATATTCCTCAAACTTCTGAAAACATTTGCTTCCAAAAGAAATATTTAATAGGGCATTCAGTGGGGGAAAGGGAGATCCAGTTTTCTGAATTAATACAGGCCGGGGCACCAAGAAACCTTCTTGCCAGCGAAGGACCCAGATCCTGGTAGGACTGACCCCAACTCTGCAGAGACACAGGGATTCAGGAGAGGGAAGGCAACATGCAGATGGCCACTTTGCTTGCAGCCCCAAGGCAGAGTTGGCAGGCAGTGACTGTGCTAGGCCCTGAATGGACACAGGGGACAGAGATGGGCTGTCCTTTCCCTTCATCCATCGTGGTAGGAGTACCCCCCCTCCTTGCTTTATAGCAAGGTTTCATCAGCTAATCAGAACACAGCATTCCAGGACAAGCTGGATTAGCTTTATTGACAAGTGATCCAGCCCAGCCCAGCCCAATCGAAGTCCATGACACCCAACTCTGAGAAAACCAAGAGTGAGTAATCACTGCCCAAGAGTGGGTGGTCAGGCTTAGTGGAGGCTTAGTAGTCAGGCTTAATGGAGAAAAGCTAAGCCGGGAGCAGAAGCAAGCCCATCCATCTCTTCATTATTGTTCCACATCTTATCTTGCTGAACTTGGACTTGGCTATTGCATTAATCAATCATTCTCCCACTTTTACTGTACATTGTTTGATTTAAATTATTTGCAGTAAAAAGAAGTAACACCGGATAGATAGAATAAGAAGGGGAAAACCAAGGTCCCTTCTCTTTGGATTGTGGCTACATTGCCCTATGCATTGCAGCAAGAGGCCACTAGTGGGGCAGCACCAGCTCTGCACAGTTCTCTGTTCAAAAGGATGTCATGGAAAGGGCTCCCAAGAAAGGAGAAGCCCAGGCAACCACAGCAGAATGAAAACAAACAGTCCCCATCTCAGGCAGGAACCTCAAGTAGCCCTTTGTTTCTTCCCAAAACTATCCTGCAAAGGAGACCAGATGAGAACTGATCCCAAGCCCAGACTGCAGTTGGTCCAGCTGGGGCAACTCCTGCCCAAGCTGGCTCCAACGCCTCTGAAGGGATTTTATCTTTTCTCCTTAAAGCTTTCAGAAAGAGAACAAAGGCACCATTCAGCAGCACTCAGCCCACCCCTTGCCTAAATGACAATAAAAGAACACTCCCAATAGCCCCCGACCAAAATCCACAGACTCTAGGGCCCAGAAACACTCCTACTACTGAGAAGAAGGCTGCGAAGGCCCCCTACAGTGCTAAAGAAGCAACTATGGTTGGTAACACAAAAGAGTAAATGGGACCCTTACCACAGGCTCCATTTTCATAGCTTCAGAGCAGTGTTGGGGGAGATGAAGGCTTGAGTGCCCACCAATCAGAGGTATTGAAATTCAGCACTTATTCTGCAACCTGAGTCAGCAGTTTGAAATCAAGGAAGGACCAAGGAAAGTCCATATAGAAAGACCTGGGTTAGCTTTCTTTAGTGGTATATTGGCATGGAAGCTTACAAACGTCAACTTACATGTGATTGTCAGAAAAAGTAAGCTCTATCCATTTTGTGTAACTGTCACAAGTATTAATGAGAAGCAGGACCCTGATGAATGTTCAGGAGGCATTCTCTTTCCCAACAGATGGAAACTCCCAGATTTCTAAATCATTTTCTAAAATGATTTCCTAAGGTGTTAAAAATCCCATTCTAGGCACCCTGAGGATGGTTGAGGGTGTTGGCACTGGACAAAGGAAACAAGAGGGACAGTGTCCCCAGAAGCACAGTTCTGACTCAGGAAATGAAAGCATACCTCTAACATGTGCAGGGCACTCAGCTTCTCAGCTTGGTGGTATAGTCACAGAAGGCAGAGATAGCTTTCAGAACAGTTTGGCTGTAGGGAGGAGGATTGAACCAGAAAGGAATGAGTGGGTTCTCCCTACAGGGGCAAAAGTGGCCCAACCATTAGAGCTGAGCAGCTGAAGTGAAACCCAAGGGAGGGTGTACAGACCAGCTGACGCTGATCGTGTGTTGTCTGGAGGATGGAGAGCCTCAGCATGCACTCAGAGGCTAAGGAAGGATCTAGTGAGGACCTCAACATGGGTGTTCCTGGAAAGACCAAGGCCCTTGATATGTGCCCAGGACCCGACTGGGTCTGATGAGTGCCATAATCTTGCTGCTGCATCCAGAGAATGGGCTTCTCATAAATAAATAGATCTAGGTAAATCTCAGATCTCTTCCACTTCCTGTTCATTCCGCCAAGGCCATAAATCTTGGGGTGGAAGGGACCCTTGAAGTTCAGATGTAAGGTAGCAGCCTCCAGCCCACAACAATACAGACTCTAGTGAAACATCAGTCTATCAGAGGTCACTTCACAGGGCTGCCTCTTTCTGTGTCACTTTCACAGGAAATAATCCACCTAAAATTAGACCAAGATTTGCAACTTTTCAAACTCCACTCCTTAGTCCTAGCTCAGCCCTTTAAAGTTGCTCAAAATAAAGCTACATCTGTCATTCAATGACAGTCATTCAAATTCTTAAATACTCCCCACCCCTCAGCCTCCTGAAAGCCTTTCCTCGCCCAGGTTCTCTCCTCCAGTCCTCCATGACCCAGCTTACTCTTTCTGGACACCCAGATTGCCAAATGTACCTTCATGTTTCCATAGTTTCGGCTCAGAGCCGAATATGGTTACCCAGACCCTTGACCTCAACTCTGTATCTAATCATGTAAATTAAGAACACATTAATTTTTGCTATACTAGGGATAGAATCCAGGGCCTCATGTACGCTAAGCACATGCTGTGCCACTGAGTTATACTCCCAGCTCAAAACAATGATTTTTTACTCTCTGACACATAAAGTCACCAACCTGCACCCTCCCACTCCTAACATACATGGCAGATACTCTTTAACCAGGACTTCTTTTTGCAGCAGACCTTTAATTTATCTCTATCTAATTCTACCTCAGTTTCTACTTATGTTTACATCTTTTTAAACCAGAACTTTTCATTTTCAACTTGCATTTTTCATCAGCAATCTTCTCCAACTTATATGACTGGAAAATATGGTCAGCAAACCTAGGTCTTGAAATCATTGAAAAATGAATGTTGTCCAAGCAATCTTCTCATTCTAAGTACTCAGAAACTGCTCAAAAGCATGAAGTTGGATATTCGTGATTTCTCAAGACTTGACCATGCTGTTCCTTCTATATTAAAAGATAATGTAGGGAGTCAGGCACACAGGCTCATGCCTGTAATCCTAGCTACTTGGGAGATCACAGCTCCAGGCCAGCCTGGGCAAATACTTCATAAGAACCTATCTCCAAAATAGTCAAAGCAACATGGATTGGAGGTATGGCTCAAAGAGTGCCTGCCTTGCAAGTGCAAAGCCCTGAATTCAAACTCCACTCCCACCAAAAAAAAAAATGATAGTACAGGAGCAGGCCATGGCTCATGCCTATAACCCCAGCACTCAGGAGGCAGAGGCAAGAGGATTGTGAGTTCAAGGTCAGCCTGGGCTACATAGCAAGACCCTGTCTCAAAAATAACGTTAGAGAAACTAAAATAAAACAACAAAATGATAATGAAGGGCTGAGACTGTAGCTCAGTGGTAGAGTATTTGATCACCAGTAAGGAAAAAAGTAAAAAAAGATAATGCAACTACACGGCTGCATTTGGGCCACAGCTACAGGAAACATTGGGCTTCCTCACTGCTTGCCAGATACTCTATTTTGTACCCAGGGCACATTCCAAGGCATAGCAACATGCAACTTTCTAAGAAATGTTTCCAGTAAATGAGTTAGAATTTAAGTACAGACAGCAATATAACAGTTGTTCCGGTACTGAGCAGGATATATAAGTTTGTTTGCAACATAGGTTATTCATGGTTCAGTCTTCAGTGTAGACATAGGCAAATGATGCTGCATGAATACAGAAATTTGGCCTTGAGGTACTGGTGGACTTGAGTTCACAGTCACTTCTGTCTAGTGACAGAAATATGTTGCTGACTGGCCTTGGGGAAAGGAAGAAGACCTTTTTCAGACAACTCAGAACATCTCCAGGAATAACTTGTGTTCAGTGCTAAAGACATAATCTAACAGACTCCTGCTTGAAGTCAAACAGTACAAATGCACTCCTGCCCCCAGCCTCAGAATCTAAGATTAGCCCAAAACAGGAAACAGCTGGAAAAAGAGTTCAGCGGAAAGAGAAGAAACACACTGGTATTTATGTATTCATCTATCTTCCAGTCAAAGCTGGGTTTTTTTTCACAGTTAATATTTGTAAGTGTCTTTCTCTCCTGGCCACTTCCTGATGCCAGCCCAGGGAAGAAAGATGTCTGTGTGTTTTGTATTTAAGAAATAAACAAATTGAGCAAGGCGATAGTGACTCACCCCTGCAATCCTAGCTACTCAGTAGCAGGAGGAACATGGTTCGAAGCCAACCCAGGCAAAGAGTTCTTGTGACCCTATCTCAAAAAAATACCCAACCAAGAAATGGCTGGCAGAATGACCCATGTGGTAGAGCACCTGCCTAGCAAGCATGAAGCCCTGAGTTCAAACCCTGGTACTACCTCAAAAAAAATTTTTTTAAAGAAAAGAACAAATTGAGAATGCATGGTTTGTTCATTTCCTACAACTACTCTGGCTCGTGAAATAAACACTAGCTGCAGACTTATCTTCTTTATTGTCCATCTGTCCCACCACAGTACAAGGTCTACTTGTACGGAGTTTCGTTCATTGCCTTTTTCCCAGTATCTAGAACAAAGCCTAGCTCAT